CACACACACACACACACACACACACACACACACACACACACACACACACACACACACACATCAGAAGTCTACATCTTCCCACCTGCACCATAAGCTGCATTCTATACCAAAAAACGTAGTCTTTCTGTCTTCCTTTGGTGAGAGAAATGAGCTTAGTGTGTTTTTGGAAAATTCCAAGGCAATTGTGGCTTTATTTTCAAGATGTGGAAATTAACCTCACCAGACTTGCTTTTTAATTAAATCTATTTTGCTGCTTTTTAGAGTGAGAGCCCAGAATTAGCAGCTGCTGGATGTAGGTCTAAGGTCACACAGAAGCCTTTGCAGAGGCACCTGCTGCTTTTAGAACCTCTGGGGAGTGATGACAGAATGCCACACACAAAAGGCTTCTGTTGGATTTCTCTGCATAGCTGAGGAAGCTTAAGTGACAAAGGGAGAAAACCACATGTCAAAGAGGAGATGGACTAAGAAAAATAAAAGGGGCTACAGTTGACAAAGACTGTGCTAAGGCCAAAAGACAAGTGTGAGCAGGACACAATGGAGAAGAGCGGGGCGAGGCATCCAAAATGGCCAGAAAGAAACCCGAGAAGTAATATTCTACACTAAGGGGGATCATAATTATGAAAAATCCCTAGCAGACATCGTCTTTGGACATGTCATATGTCCCCCTTTTATTCTGCTAGGTTACCAAGTCATTCACAGTAAGTAGGAACACTTCTGAGCCCCCGTTGTGGAATGGTTATAACTCCATGACAGTCCTAGCAAAAGGAAAGTAGGTATCGGGAGCCACGACACGTGTACATCCTGTAGGCATTGCTTTCCCTCCTGTGCTGACCGAGGTGCTACGGTGTGTCCCGTATAACTAAGGCAGCATGCCGTCGCACACTGACTGGGTCTCTGTGCGAAGTTATGTTTGCAGTGTGCAATATCTGCTAAGCTGAACACTGCACTGAATTTGGTGACAGCTGCTGAGTCACTCTGCTAGAACTCAATGCAGCCAATTTCTCTATTATGTTTGATGCTCGTCCTCTGCCTCTCATAGGTGAACCCTAACAGGAAACCAGTGGGAAAGGAGGCTAGAAAAAAGTTGTTTTCAGACTTTCAGCCTCAGGCAATGCAGAGCAGAAGACAGTAGGCTTGGTGTGAGGCTGAGACACTGGGTACACAGTCATCACAGATGGCCCTCAATAAATTCGAAGCCAGTTCACACACGGACAGACCTGGCACTGTGGCTGGTCACTGTGCAATAGGCTCTTACTCCCAGAAATCTGATTTATTAAAGTAAAGATTATCAGGCAGTCAGCCATGAAAGCTAAAGGAAGAAGCCTAGAGCAAACCCCTCTTATAAGAACGCAGATACCATGACTTTAGCAGCATCCATTAAGCAGAGAAAAGATACATGGTATCCAAATGAGAAAGATATACATGAAGAATCTGTCAAAATAGCTGAGTTGTTTTGCTACCAGATACAAAAGTGAGGATCTGTAGGCTCTTGCTTATAAGAGGGAGTGGTCTGCCAGTCCCAACATAGCAGTTGGGAGTGGAAAGCTATTAGATTGCTGATAACAGCTGCTCCTCAGACAAAGGACTATTATCTAGAATATATAAAGAACTCAAAACAATCAGCCCCCCAAATATAAAGACCCGATTCAGAAATGGGCATCTGAAATGAACAGACATTTCTCAGACAAAGAAGTAAAAGCAGTAAGTAAATATATGAAAAAATGTTCCACATCACTGATCCTTCAAGAGATGCAGGTGAAAACAGCACTGAGATTCCACCTCCCCCAGAAAGAATGGCTGCTATCAAGAAATCTCACAATAACAAATGTTGGTGGAGTTGTGGGGAGAAAGGAACCCTTCTCCATTGTTGCTGGGAGTGCAGATGGTGCAACCACTATGGAAATCAATAAGGAAATACCTCAAAGAGCTGGGACTAGAGGTTCCTTTTGACCCAGCCATCCCTCTGCTGGGTATCTTTCCAAAAGAATTAAAAGAATCATATCACAGTGATATATGCGCACCTATGTTTATAGTGGCACAGTTTGTAATAGCTAAAATTTGGAAACAGCCCATTTGCCATCAGTTGGAAACTGGATAAAGATATGGTTTTTCTATAAAATGGAGTACTACTCAGCCATAAAGAATGAGAAATTAGATTCATTCATAGGAAAATGGATACATATTGAGGATATACTCTTAAGTGAAATAAATAAGTCACACATGTGTAAATACCAAATAATTTCTCTGGTGTGAAAAACTATAATAGTACGTAAGATCCTAATGACATAATTGACAATGTGAAATAGGAAGAAAAGGGCTAGCTAAAGGTGTAGGGAAAGTGGGAAGGGTAGAGGAAAGGAAATAAGGGAAAAGAAAAAGTATGAGAAAATGAAAAAATGGAAATGATAAATAAGTCACACATGTGTAAATACCAAATAATTTCTCTGGTGTGAAAAACTATAATAGTACGTAAGATCCTAATGACATAATTGACAATGTGAAATAGGAAGAAAAGGGCTAGCTAAAGGTGTAGGGAAAGTGGGAAGGGTAGAGGAAAGGAAATAAGGGAAAAGAAAAAGTATGAGAAAATGAAAAAATGGAAATGAATAGCTTGTAAATGGGGAGGGGAGGAGGGGGTGAAGGAAGGGCAGGGACAAGGGGAAAAAATGAGAACCAAGACCTGTCATGTAAAGGTACAAGATCTTCATAATGAATGTAACTGTACTGTATGCCTAAAATGTACCAATAAACTCAATTAAAAAAAAATAGATTGCTGCTAAGGAAACAATGAGCCCAAATGTGTCAATTCAGTTCATAATTCAGGGTACAGATGCAGCATGAACATCAAGCTCCTGTCCATCCTCCCTTGCCCCCCAAGTCCCATAGTGGTCGGTGTGATTGTGGGCCAGAGTAAATTCTGTGACCCGGGCTCTGCTTCATAGCTGACCTTAGGAAAACCCCAATCTTTTGAGGGCAGCTTCCCGTTCTCCCCTCCAGAGGCAGTGGTGTTATCTTTATTACCCTGCAATCTAAAACACATCTCTGGGAAGAGGTGGTTCTCTTCCCTGTGCTGATCAGCAAATATGTCCTCTGATCTGCAGAGGAGCCGCTACCTCTAGCTTCCTCTCTCTGCTTTGCAAACACTGCAGAAAAGATAGTACAGAATAAGACTTCAGGAAACATCATCAAGAATGGTCTCCCAGCACTATGAATTCTTATGGTGCCTTGGGTCCCCTTCTAGTATGCGTAAAACAGCTTATCTCTTCTTTATGTTAATGTAAGACATATTTTCTTTTGTGTTACTACACCTTTAAAATACCACTACTCCTGATTTTTACACTAACCTGCGAGAAGGGAAGATTTTTTTTTTTTTTTTTTTCTGGTACCAAGGATTGAACTCAGGACCTTGTGCTTGCAAGGCAGGCATGATGCAAGTGAGCTAAATCCCCGGCCCCTTATACTAACCTGGGTAGGTTTCTGCTTCTCACTAGAAGATCAGACTAATACAAAGCTGGAAAATTAGGTAGTAGTCTAAAAGTAGAATTTGTAGAAGTATTAATCAAATATGAAACTCTGGCACTTGGATGCCACATGATTGACTACAGTTATGACAAGTTCAGTTATGCTTCTGTTCATATAGGATGTGACTGGCCAAGGCATGGGGAATTACTTTTATTAATTACTTCTGTGTGTTGTTAATGTAGCATTGAATTTGAACTAGAATCAGAATGCGTTTTCTTTCCTATAGTTACAACTGTTTTGCTTTCTTATTCCAGATGTGTGTGTGTGTGTGTGTGTGTGTGTGTGTGTGTGTGTGTGTGTGTGAAAGAGAGACAGAATGAGAATGGGGAGTCTCACTGTGCAGTTCAGGCTGCCTGGAATTCATTATGAAGCCCGGTGACCTTGAACTTACAGCGATCTTCCTGCCTCAGCCTCCTAAGTGCTGGGGTTACAGGTGTGCACCACCATGCCTGGCTCCAGATCTTCTTTTAAAAGTCTTGACCCACTGGTCCTCAGGTCTGTTTCTTTGCCAGTACCATGCTGTTTTTAATCAGTTTTTAGTATATGTACTGCCCAAGTAAGCACTGTATCTACACTGATATCAATATAGAGAGAAGGTTTTATCAGGTTCTAATGGTGTTTATATTCATTGCTTGTATGTAAATATGTGAGGCAAACTATCTTTCTGAACATTAAAATTTCATTTAATTAAATGGGTCGATGCTTTTAAAAAATTTTTATTGGTACATTTTAGGTATACAATATAATCACATTCATCGTTGGAAATTTGTATCTTTACGTAATCTATCTTGGTTCTTATTTTTTCCCCATTCCCCTGCCCTCCCTGCAACCCCTCTGCCCCTCCCCTATTTACAAAGACTTTGTTTCCATTTTTTCACTAGGCAGGTGCTGTAGACCTGAAGATCAGCAGGAACATGGTCTGAAGCAAGGAGAGGGAACTGTCTGAGGACCACCACCCAAAGAGGCCTTGTAGTGCCCTTTTCATATGGCTAGCTTACCGTGACTACAGGTTGGGGCTAGTAGCAAATATTCTTCGAGTTCTTTATGCTTTTTATTAAGTGTAAAAATAATCTTAAGTAATAGACTGTAAGGTGCCTCTCTGCTTTCTGTTTCCCATGGTTCAGTTTTACACAACGAGAAATGTTCATTTCCTTTGGCTCGCTATTCCCCCTGAGCTTCTGGTTTTGTTTTCAACATATCTATGTCCATTGGAACTAGATGGACTTGGTAAACAGGAAGTTGCTCTAAAAACTCTGGGAGACCTTGTTGGATCAGAGCCTTCTTCCTTAGCCCTAAACCTTTTTCTCAATTAAATGTGAATTTCTGGTTGAGAGTCTTTATGAACATTACCAATCACTTCTATTTTTCAAACCCTCCTTGGCTCCAGAAAATCTTGAAGGCCCTGCATTTCCAGAAGCACATACCTTATGAAGTGCAGGTAATATTTAAGGTATCCCTGCCTCTCAGAGACTCAGGTAGAAGTTGGCTTGAACCCTGACGCTTGGTCCTATGAGCTCAGCATCACACTACCCTGCCCTGGCCTGGGTTTGTTTCTCTGTCCTGATCCTGAATGATGTAGTCTCTTCATTCCCACTCGGAATCCAACCTGGACTCAAAGCTGTAACCTGTTTTGAGTCCTGTACGAAACCCAGTGGAGATCAGCATTGTCCTGGGTCTGTAGTTTTGTTAAAGATTTCATGAGGGGTGGGAACAAAGGATGGACCAGCTCAGGTGTGACCAGCTGCCTGCCGTTCCTCCTTGCACTGTTCAGGCTCTACCAGTGCCCTGTGCCTGCCAGCTGCACACAGGACCAGGTCTTTGAGCCTTTCTGGGGCCCTAAATTCTCTTGTGCCCACACACATACCAAACATAGCGAAGTGCGCCCACACCCCACATTAAATGAAATTTTTGCTGCAAGCAATGAAAATCATGTTTATAGTTTGTCTTTTTACATCGTTTGACTATAAGTAATTAAAAAGAGTAAATTTAGTGTATCAGTTGTTTTCATACATAATGAAATATTTTTGAACAATAGATGTAACAATTGGAGAAGTATCATGCATTTGCAGACATGCACTTAAATATTTACAAATTTTGTGGGTTTCTCTTTGTATTTTGGAGATAGTCTCCTTCAAGCCATGAAATATTCATGTGCACCCTGGAAAAAAAGGTTAAACTGTAGGCACCCTAACTAGCTGTACTTTCCAATGGTTGAGGCAGGTCACTGAGACCCTGTCCACAGTCAAGACTTCTAGGAAAAGAGTCCAGGTCCTGCCTTTGCCAGGAACAGCCCCATCAGGCCAGCCTATTCACAGCATTCTTTGTCGCATTACATATATTTGTGCAGATTTACAAGTTTACTAAGTTTGGAAACAGCCATGCACAGTGCATTCTCACAGAGAGGTATCTATTAGGAGCCTCAGCCACCTTTAGAAATGCTCCACCTGGGAGTGGGTGTGGGCTTCAGCCCCCAGAGCAGGAGACAGGCTTCCTAGCAGGGACCTAGCGTTTGGCTCTGTTCCTTTGCCAGGAACAGCCCCATCAGGCCAGCCTATTCACAGCATTCTTTGTCGCATTACATATATTTGTGCAGATTTACAAGTTTACTAAGTTTGGAAACAGCCATGCACAGTGCATTCTCACAGAGAGGTATCTATTAGGAGCCTCAGCCACCTTTAGAAATGCTCCACCTGGGAGTGGGTGTGGGCTTCAGCCCCCAGAGCAGGAGACAGGCTTCCTAGCAGGGACCTAGCGTGGTTGGCTGTGTGGAGGGAGGGGCCAGGATGCAGCTAGGCCAGGTCCAAAAGGCCTTGGAAGACTCTCTGAACATTTCAGACCTTACCTCATAGGCCATGGTGAAATATCGACATTCCAGGAAATGGCTCAAATAACAGATGCAGAGAGTAACCCACGGAGAATGTCCCTGATTTTTCTTTCCTTTTTTCTTCCTTCTCTTCTCTGTCCTTTCAGACATGGAGGGTTCCTTTTAGCGTCATGATTTTTTTTTATCTAACAGCTAACAAACCCAGGTATCTGGTAAGCCCTAGAGGAGACTTGTTGTATGCAGAACGGAAGGAGCAAACATTCAGAAGTTATTCTGAGTTCAGAGTGACCACCGGGGCTCCGTGTGTTTTCTGTTTGGATTATTCTGTGTTTGCACTGTTCTTTAATGTTAGGTCTCTTCAGCCAAATGATACGGTGGAACAGGGTGGAAATGACAGGATGCAGAGCACAGCAGCTCTCTAGTGTAAGCCATGGCTTCCATTCCTGTTGCAAAGGTTTACAAGATTTTTTCCTTCTGTTATATAATTTTGTTTTTTGCATTTTACCATGGTTTTTCTTTCTTTCCTCTCATCTCCCTTATTTCATTCACTAGATTAATCTTTTTCTCTTCCTCTTCTGTGTGTTTGCTTTTTTTTTAAGTGAGTGACCAATGTCTGAAAATTCTATTCTCCATAAAACTGAGCTTCTGGATTTGTTGGAAAGTTGTCTTCTGTGACAGTGGCTTTGTCTTCCCATGCAGCGACCGTGCGGGAGACTGCAAACGGAGTCTCTCACCATTTCAGCCCAGCCGACACCACTCTGCCGCCTCCCTGACCCTGAAGACATCATCGCCATTTCCGTAGTGCTCTTGCTTTGCTGAACTTGCCGTTTTCCCATTTATGTGACCTACTCTGCCCCAGTAAGCATTTCAACTTGTGGCCATCTTTGCACTGAAGTACAGAATTGATTTATATTTGTTATAATTATCGATAGATTTTAATTTACATGTGCTGAAGTTTTTTATGCTTTCTGACTCACCGTTTCTGCGTTTATTCTCTCCTTTTTTGTCTTCATATGGATTGGTTGAGTTAGTTGTCTCATTTCATTTTTTCTTCTGAATCACCCTAAAAATTCTATTGTTTCTTATATTATTTTAGTGATTAACCTTGTAATTACAGCATGCATCTTTTACATACTAGATATTCCTAAAGGAATTCCTAAAGGACTTAATATCTTTACCTTCCTCTGAACAACACGCTTCTGACTTACACCTCAGTTGCTTAAACTAGATTTTGTTGTATTTGAGATTTGTGTCATTTTTAAACCCCACAAAGCCTTGTTTCTTTTATTTTCTTAGAGTTAATTCTTGTATCATGTACCTATATATTTACACTTTCTGTCTTATATCAGAATCGTGTATCTTCCTATATCTTGCAATTATTCCTTATAACTCCTTTCATATCTCTTACATCTGTCAGCTTCCTTTTGCCTGAAGGACATTTGAAAGAATTTCTACACTTGATCTTAGCCAAAAGGCCGAGAAGCGATTTTAAAGAATTTCTTTCATTGCAGATCTGCCAATGGCGAAATTCACTCTGGTTTTATTTGTTCATGTTTCATTTGAGTATTTTTTTCTCTTTTCCTCCCCTCTACTCCTTTGGAAGATACACATTTTCTTTTTCTTTCTTTTTTTTTTTTTTTTTTTTTTGGTTTTTTGAGACAGGGTCTCACTATGTAGTTGAGAGACAACTCACTATGTAGCCCAGGCTCATCTCGAACTCACAGTGATCCTCCTGCCTCAGCCTCCCGATTGCTGGGATTAAAGGCATACACCACCACTCCCAGCTCACATTTTATTTCTTATACCTTATTTCCTCCTTTACTTACCCTAAACTTATTAAATGCATACTAAGCTTTTTACATTTTAAAAATTATTCAAAATCACTGTTCTTCTATCAAACACTACCAGGACTTTAGACTATTTTAAGTTGTCCATATTATTGCTGTCATTTTGTCAAGTTGTTCATAACTCCTCTCCCCATTAATCTGAAAGATTTTTTTGAATGGTAGGGGTGTTTATACATTTATTGACATATTTATTCTTTTCTTTATTCATTGTTATCTTTTTCTCAGTTTATTCTGAAAATATTAATATTTAATATTTTTTCAGAGCATAGTATTTTTTTTGCACATTTTTATTTCACCACCATTTTTTTTGTGTGTGTGATACTGGGGATCAAACTCAGGCCCTTGTGCTTGCAAGGCAGGCAGTGAAACCACTGAGCCAAATCCTGGATCCCCTCACCACCATTTTTGAACACTAATTTAGTTAGTCTGTAGAATCTTGGCTTGACAATTATGTTCTAACATCAGTTTGAATAATGTTATTGTTTTATCCTCTGACCTCTATGTGGTTGTTGACAGGTTTGTGGCTAATCTAACTGCCATTATCAGATTGGTAATTTATCTCTTTCTGGTTGTTTTTATCCCTTTCACTTTGGCTTTGATGTTGCATGGGTTCGTGTGTGTGTGTGTGTGTGTGTGTGTGTGTATGTACATGTTTTCTTTTAAATTCTGTGAGGGACTTGTAATTTTCTAACAGAAGAACACACATATTATTATAATTCTGCTAAATTCTCAGCCTTTATAATTTCAGTATTGCTACTTTCACAGCCTCCTACACCTTCCTCCTAGAACTCCATTTAAGTATGTTTTGATTTATCAGTTTAACCTCCATGATCACTCTTTCGCATTTTTCTTTTTGTCTCTCTGCTACAGTCAGAATACTTTCTTCAGATCCATCTTTCATATTCTAATTTTTAGCTATATCTGCTATACAACTTAACATTGTATCTTTCATTATTAAGAATTCTCTTTTCTTTTCAAATCTACTCTTTTTCATAGAAGACGGCTCTTTCATTATTTTTCCCCCTTTTCACTCCCCCGCCCCCCAATTGGGGAAGCTTTTATTTATTCATTAACCCAGGGCCTAACACATTGTTCTATTGCAAGGCAGAATAATGCTACAAAAAAAAAAAAAGGTAACAGAATGAGAAAAAAGATCAAGAACTGTGGCTCTAGATAAAGAATTCAACAAGTAAGACTCAAGCAGGCACTGAGCTGAAATGGCCCAAACCTAAACAAAGGTTTACCATTGCCCCCTACCTCCATGCATTTTTACCCCTAGTAGTAAAAAGAAACCAGTTAGAAGCTCACAATAGTTTGGTTCTCACCAGTATTAACAAAGGAAAACAAAATGAGCCAGCAACTCTTGAAGATGTGCCTCAAGATAGCACTCAGTAGGGGGAGAATCTGTTTCTTGCTTTTCGTTTTGTTAGTTGGCACCACAGAAGTGGTGGCGGCAGTAGGCGAAACCCCGGTTCCCTTAGTAGCAGACCCAACATTTAGAGCCAGGAGAGGGGTGGGTTTCACGCCAAGCCGACTGGAGACACAAGGGGCAGTCGGAAGAAGGTTGGGGAGGCTGGAGGGTGAGTCGGAGGTCCCTGCTGTGGTGAGCAGGGTGGTGGTGGAGGAGGAAGAAGAAAGGGTGGAGGGTGGAGAGAGGTTGATGCTGAGGGGATCAGGGATCGTGACTGGCTGCCCGGGAGGAGGGTTTAGCGTCTTCTAAACTGACATTGATTAGATATTGAGCAAGGCTAATGCTCGCAGCAGATCCAGTGATGGTAACCTGCCTATCAGTAGATCCTTCCACTGGGTTGGCAGTTTTGATCTGCGCCCCAGACGCCTGACTGATCTCATTGATTTTGGCGCCTTCATGGCCGGTTATGCAGCTAATCAAAGCGTTTGGAACAGGGAGTTCATGAGAAGCAGTCTGAGCACTGCACTGAATCTCCAACCCTGCACTAAATCTGGTGTTGCCATGCGTCATGGGAAAATGAGACTGTTGCATTGCCAGCTGGTGTGGCTTGGTCAAAGCTGGCTGTGGAATGGCTTACTGTCCTTGAGTGGTACAGGCCTCTAGAGGTGGTCCCTCCAGGTCAGGGTTGAGGCACATGGGGCGGTGTGGGGAAAGCTGCACTGTCACTGCCTGTGCTGTACCTGTTCTGACCACGTGCAAAGATAACTGGAGAACTCCATGGCTTGGTATGGGACGGTCACGCCCTGGGTGGGCGGATTCCAACAGAACCACTCATATCTGTTTGACACACTCAGTGATGAATTGCGGGATGCCAGCAGTAGTGACGGACCGCTCAGTTGAGTTGGGGAGCATATGCCCCACCACTTGAACCTGAGCCCCTGTATGCTCGTATTTCTTGGATCTTACAACCACCTTTTCCAATGAGAGAGCCACACTGACTAGCAGGGACCCTCATCCTCACTGTGCCCGGGGGTCTACTGGCAGCTGTGCTATTGGTCATCGAGCTGCTGATGTCCTCTTCCGGTTTGTCAGTGATCATAGCAAAGGCTTTGAAGATGGCATTAGTGGGTCCAGCCAAAGTGATGATTCGCTCAGGATGATTCCCTTCTGAGATGTTGATACTTGAGCCACTCTCCTCGTGGATCTTCTTAACTTTTTTTCCCGATGATACTGCCAACTTCCTTTCCATGCGTAAGTAGCCTGATGGTGAGAGTGACATTTAATCCACCTTCCATCACACTGGTCTCCATGTCAAATATTATGGGGAGCTGGACTTTGAGTGGTCAAGTCTTTGGTCACTGGTGGGAGTCAAGGCCAAAAACTGCAGGCTCAAGGCGCCTGAGGGGGAAGAGGCGGGCAGGAGAGAAGGTGAAGGGCGGGAGGCCTGGGCAGAGCAGTAGGGCAGAGCAATAGGGCAGAGCAATAGGGCGCAGGCTCCTGCTGCTCCCTCTGCTCGTCTGTCCCTCTTTTCACTTTAACAAATCCTGTGGAACATCATTAGTTTACAGACCCCAGAGAGTTTTCCTCTTACCTTCAGTTCTTGCAGGTGCTCATTGTTCTGTAGGTGTGTATGGGACTTCTCTTTCTGACTGGTTTGGTTGTTCAGCAAGCGATGTTTATTCTGAGGGAGTCTTGTGAGTCCTGAATTATGAAAATATTTCTGTGGAGCTACGGGTTTGCTTCTATAGGGGTCTCCCTGATTCTGGGAACATTTTTATGGTAATTTATTGTTCCAGCTTTCTTGCCCAATCTAAATGTAAATTTGGGTAACGCACTTTTTCTTTAGATGCTTTGTGTTTGTTCTGAGACAGGGACATGATGCAGATTTAGTTGCCCGTTTCCTGAGCTGCTGGGGACAGAGTATAGTTCCATGCTGAGGGAGATTTGCAGGAGTCAAGGGAGGTTTGCCAGACCGTCTTGATGCAGGGTGTCACACCACTGTCTCACCTTGCCCAAGCTCGGGACCGTGTCACCTGTGCCGATCTGGGTATGAAGATCCCAGTCTAGTCTAGGCCCCTAAGCAGCTGTCATAGGTTTACCCCACCTCTTGGTGATTGCCCCATTTGCTGTCCTGCCTATGGCTTTCGATTGTTTCTTCATTTCTAGTCTATATTAAAAAGAACAGTTGAGCTTTATAGGTCCATGAGCTACATTCTCATGATGAACACACTGCTTTATATGGGTTTGTAACTGAAGGGAGATCTGAGTGAATTCAGTGTGATATGTATTTCTTTATAAATTAGTGCATGCACCCTCTTTATTGTCTACCAGTCATGTTTCTGCCTTTGCTGTATAGATGGTAGGGCACAACGCTAAGCATTATGAAGTCTTTGCCCCTAGATAGTTGACATTCTCAAAATACAGACAATTAAGAAAAATGCAGTAAAATCAGATGGAGCTATAAAGAAACATTAGGCAGGATAATAGGAGAGAGAGGGACCAACTGGGATGAGTGTGCTTTATTCAGATGGCAAAGGACCCTTGATCAGGACCTTCCACGAAGGACTGAAGAGTCACGTTGACTTCTGGGATGTCACTTT